AATAATGGCGCGCGCGCGGCGCGTTGCAATGCACTTCACTTTACAATAAACACGTCCGCTCAGTTCGACCGCTCGCACGAGAATGAATACTAACAGGCACGTCTCTACGAACCGTGAATAACAGGATTATCAGTACCAACCATAAACTTTTTACACAGCAAATAAAACAAAGTAAAACATTGTTTTATATGCTGTGCTTTTTATTCAAGGTGTCCTGGTCCTGGGGGGCTTTCGTTTTGGCAAAAATAGTACTTATTAGCAACTAATATCAGTTCAGAGTAACTCTAAGTTGCAAATAGCACTAAAATGAGGTGGTGCTCCATATATAAACCAAAGTTGTAATCTGCGGTCTGAATTAAATAAATCTTTAACAGTCTTAACAACAAAGGAAATACTGTTTTGAAGAAATTCTAAATAATTTTCGCCATTTAGACGATATAATAACTAAAAAAATACTAAACATTAACATAACAAACAGATACATACGACAAGAGTAAAAATTTGTAAGTAAAGTGTTAAAGTAGCTTATAAACTTAATACTTAATGGCCCATAATAGGAAAGAAGAAGAAGAAGATAACCTCATATTGTGATTGTGTGTTTATGACTCTTATGTCGTAATTTCTAGTACTCATCTCACATGTCCTACTTGTCTCAATCCTGAGCAAAAACAATCATAGTTGTGCTCAGTATATTATCAAGGTTTGTGCTTGTGCACCTGTTTAGTCAAAGAGTTGGGCAAAATAAAAATTTCAAGCTTATTATTTTCTTGAGAGAAATAAATAATCTATTACCATGAAAAGATTATCAGAGGAAAGGACAAAGATTTTGTTTGAGAAACTAACGAAATAGTATGTTAATATACTTTTCTCGATTGTATATAATAATTAAGGTTTTTAGCATTGGACCAAATGTGAAGCTATTAATTGAAAGACCCGATGGATTATACTGTTTCAGAGAAAAAAAGGATAGAGTGTACTATGTTTCTGAAAAGATTTTAAAACTTGCCAATACTGTACCACCAGAACAATTAATATCAGTTGGAACATGTTTTGGAAAATTTACAAAATCAAACAAATTTAGGTTACATGTAACAGCTTTAAACTATTTAGCGCCTTATGCACAGGTAAACAGAAGTCAGGATTTACCAGTAATATTTATATGTTCAGATTATTGTTGAACGTATTTTTAATATAGTAATATATGAGTGAATATATCTAAGCTTAAGTATTTTTCATGTATGAATTAATTACAGAGCAAGATATGGTTAAAACCTTCAGCAGAACAACAATTTTTATATGGTCATCATATCCCAAAGTCTGGATTAGGAAGGATAAGTGAAAATACGGAAAAGTATCAGGGAGTTGTTGTTTATAGTATGTCGGATTTACCATTAGGATTTGGAGTAGCTGCAAGATCAACGGCAGAATGCAAACATGCAGAACCTTTGGCATCAATTTGCTTCCATCAGGCTGACATTGGAGAGTATATCAGATCAGAAGAAGATTTATTATAATATTAGAAGACAATTTTGTATGTAATAGTTATATGTATATTAAATTTTGTTAAGACTTAAATCACCCCACTGAAAATATTACTATAGTATTAAACGGTAAATACAATATGCAGTTTTAATGTTAATACCAAATGAAAAAATAATTTATAAATACATTATTAAAATTCTGATGAAATCCCCAGTCATATTAATTTTGAATTTGAATGTAATTTCTAAAAATGGTATGTGATATGTGATGTTGGATGTTGGCACTGTTGGCATCACTTTTTTTGGCCAGGCCATTTTGCAGCTGCACCTTTGAATGAGATACAAAAATAAAGGTATGGGAAAGTGAGAAATGATATAAATACGTATTTTAATAAAAGTGCAAACATGTTTTTGTAAATAGAATGAACATAAAAGAAAATGTCAAGCAACAGGTTATCTTTTCAAGATTTTCCCTATATATGTAGATTATGTTTGATGAAAAAGAATAACTTAAAACTAATGGTGCAGTTAATTTCCTTGGATGTACTAAAGAATATAACAAATATTAAAGTAAGTTTCAATTAAAAATATTTGTACCATCTGTTCCTTTCGAATTAAAACAACCTAACCTATATATTAAATTTCAGATGGAAGATGATGATTTACCTAAGAATGTGTGCAATGATTGCACAAATAAATTAGAATATATCTCATCTTTTATAGATTTATGTCTTAAAAGCGAAACAAATCTAAGAAATATATTGGTAAAATACAGAGAGATACATTCTGAGAAAAAAGATGCAGATCAGTCTTTCAGCCCATTTGAAGAGTCGAATATTAATTTAAATGAAAATTATGATACAAATGAATTTATTTTGCCTCCCCCAAAGAACATAAAGCTAGAGAAACCGAAGGAAACTTTATGTATCTCAAGCCATGATAACGTGGAAAATAAGATTATAAAAGCTTCTACTAAAAAGCAACCTTCAGACTGTCAAATATGTAGAGAACATTTTAGTACAAGGACAAAATTATACGAACATAAAAAGAAAAATCCTGCTTGTCGAACTAGACACTTCAAATGTACAGTTTGTGTAAAAGCTTTCTTTACAGAGTTCAAGCTTAAATTACATATGAGGTCGCATACCAAAGAAACACCATTTGAATGTAAAATTTGTTTAAAAAAGTTTAGGTTTGCTTCAAACGTTAACAGACATATAGATAGCATTCACAAAGGTTTAAAACCATTTAGATGCGACATATGTGGAAAGGGTGAGTACTATTTATATTTCAAAATTTTATAGCGATATAGGTATGCAACAACTTTATTAATAATGTCGGTGTATTAAATTTAAATATATCTACATTCCAAAGAAAACTAATGTAGCCGTAAATTTATATCTATAATCAATTTTAGAATTCTCAAGATTAGAAAGAAAACTGCAACATGAGAATATACATACCAGTAAATCCCAATATAAGTGTAACTATTGTGGGGAAGGGTTTAAATATAAATCGATGCTACAAAACCATGAAATGGATCATAAAATAAAAAATGGTGAAATCAAAGAACTTTCTAAAACTGAATGTAATATTTGTAAAAAGATCTTTTTTTCAAAATCTTTACTTTTAACACATATCAGAATTCACAATGGAGAGAAAACATTTTTGTGCTCTATTTGTGGAAGAAGCTTTTTGAAGAAAATCTATTTAGACATTCATTGCCGAATACATACAGGAGAGAAACCGTTTCAGTGTAAAGAATGTGGTAAAAAATTTAGGCATGCAAGTAGCTACAAAACTCATGCTCTATTTCATACAGGTACAAGATGCTTCAAATGTAGTATTTGTTCAAAAACATTTAAGCAGTCAAGTCACTTAAAATCTCATTTAAAAGTTCATAGTGGAGAAAAACCTTTTTTATGTAGCGTTTGTGGAAAGGGTTTTTCTCAAAATTCTAATTTAAAGACCCATACTAGAGTTCATACTGGGGAGACTCCTTATCACTGTTCGATTTGTAATAAGGGTTTCTATGATTCAAGTAGCATGAAGAAGCATGAAAAGAGCCATTAAAATCAGTTGTGCAATACATTCACAGAAATAAATGATCCTTGTTTGCCTACAAATCAAAAACTAATGATTAATGAGAAAAATATAAAAAAGGAATCCGGCATCTAATTAAGACAAGTTCAGAGTGATTGTGAAGATTAAAATAATACCTATCTTCTATAAAACTGTGACGAGGTTTGTGTTGTAGCCTTTTTGTTGCATTTGGACTTATTCTTATATATTTTTTTTCAAATTATATATTGCAAAATCTTTTTGGAATGAAAACATATTTTTTTGTAGTTAATGACTTCTGATGTATCACAAAATGGGGCTACTTGGTCATGATTAAAGATATTTTAAGATTACGGTACATTAAAGAATGTTGTTCAATATATCTCCAAAATTTTTAAAATAGATAGCTCGGACCATGTAAATTTATCTGTTTTTTTTTTATTTTAATACATGAAATAATATGTCACAATTTAACAATTTGAATGGGGCACAAAGTGATTTTAGTGATTATTTTTTATATATAGGTTGTAACTTTAAGTGGGCGTCAGATTTTTAGGTGTAATAGAATGTGTTTGCCAGAATACTGAACTGAATTATTTTTTTAATAATTATAAATTGTTTTTAAAACTACTACACTTAAACTTTCGTCTAGTTTTTAATAAAAAATATTTGCCAATATTTTTTAAAACACTGTGTTTTGTGAAACTCATCGTTTTCCACTAAACCTAAATGTTCATTTACCATTTTCAAATACTCTTAAATTTACGTCATTGTTAACGGAAAGAAAAATTTGTAATTTAGAAATTTTGGAAATAAATTAATGAAACTTGAGATTGAGGTATTTTAAAGATTACTAAATTAAATCACATTTTAAAATTTAAAAAAATATATATTTCATGACAGATTCTTAAGAAAAAGTCCTAACGGGTTGCGTAATGGTACATTACTATGACACTTGCCTCTGTAATTGTATTAAGAGACCTTGTACATATAAAAAATTATCAATGGAATTGTGTTGACAAGCATGTTCAGGATCAAATTTGAAAACTCTGTTAGGAAACTAAAACAAAATTAGTTTTTATGCTTGGTAAATGGAAAAGAAACGTCTATTAGAATAATTTAATAAAAAATAAATTCATAGTTTCAAAATAAAACCACATATTATATTATATACATATATTTGTCACTTGTCCTGCCAGGTAGCCCCATTTTACCAATATGTTCGGTGAGAATCATAAATTTGCAGATGGTTTTTTAGGCTTCACAAGAAATGGTAATCTATTGGAACACAAAAGAAATCATTCTGGAGAATTGCCATATATTTGCAATTATTGTGGGTTATCGTTTAATAAAACCAGACCATATCAGTATCACTTAAACATTCACAAAGCTACAAACTCTAAAAATAGTTCCGATCTAAAATGTGATACTTGTGCTAAAATATTTGGTTCACACTCGTCACTCAGAAAACATAAACTTACTCATACTAAAGAAAACAATTTTTTATGTGACATATGTGGTAGGAACTTCAGAACGAATCAGACATTGGTCAACCATATTAATGTACATTTGGATGTAAAATCATTTAAATGCAGGTTTTGTGACAAGGTGTTCTCCAGAAAATCAACGTTACAAGTTCACTGTTTAAGTCATACAAAAGAAAAACCGTTTAAATGTAACATTTGTTTGAAAACTTTTGCTCAGATAGTTCATTTAAAAAATCATGAACGTATTCATAATGGTGAGAAACCTTATCAGTGTGCATTCTGCAGCAGAAAGTTTTCTGTGAAGTGTAATTTGGTCATCCACACAAGAATTCACACTAAGGACACAAAGTATAAGTGTACAGTCTGTGGAAAAATGTATTACGAATCGAGAAGTCTAAAAAGACATATGAAGCTACACCAAGATTCATCCCTGATTGTACTAACCAATGAAGATATTTCTACTTTATTATTATGATATTTTATACACTTTTGAATGTTATGCTATGAAAATACATTTTTGTACATAAAAATTAATATAAGTAGGTACAGCTTGTTTCATATAATTTTTTTTTTTTTTTTTTTCATGCGTAACACCAAACAATTTTTAAATACTCTGAATACATACAGTGCGTCCCCATATTTCATATACAAAGAACTTCCACAAATGCTGCAAATTGAATTAAGATGTTTTAAGGAAATTTATCTGTATTCAATGTTGCCTCGTTTAGGGAAATTTTATATATCAAGACAAGTGTATATATTTCACTTTTTTTATATAATAACAGGAGTAATTATTGTATTTATAGAAATTGGAAAGACCCCATTAATTAAATTTGCTACATATTTTTTTTTAACCTTACAAGTTCAATTTTTATTTTATCATAAAAGCAAGAACTTTCTTCAGGTTTTTTCCCAAATTTTTTGTATTTCTAACATTTATCACCTAATTAATTATTTTATTAGTCATCATCAACACATTTTCATTACAATTTATTAGCAAAATTTACATGATAATAAACATGAAATAATGCTCCATCGGGTTGAGAAACTCATAATCAACTATTCTTTCATAGGAATTATTTCCAGTTATCATTTTCAGTGAAGCATAATTCTATTAAAAAAAAAAATTACAGAGATTAGAATTTTATAGTCACAATTTACAGAATGGGATAGTCACAATCGAGGTCACAATTTACAGAAATTCAAAAAAACAATTATCTTATCATATGAAATTAATGTTCTTCATTACCAGAAATCTAGGTTGATATTCTGGTAAACCTACTGTATGAGATACATGCTCCAACTAACATTGAATTACACCAACAACATCTAGCAAACAGTCAGTAATAAATAATTATCCAAAATAAAAGCTGAAAATGATTTGTTTAAACATAATTAACATTTCGGAGGTTACACTTGTAAGTAGAACATGGGCATTTACATGCGCACTGTAAGTCTGAAATAAAGAACTAGAAATTTTTAATAACTTGTAGTTTAAAGAGGGGTCAATGAAATCAAATTTTACTGTTAATAAAACAAAGAAATTAACAGTAGGGTAATATTTAAACACCAAAAAAAAAAAAGGTAAACGGATTAGTCACTATTGTTTCCATTAGAATTACTTTTGATAAACAGTTGGCCGACGTTTCAAGCATATACACAGGGTAATTCACAACTTATCCAAAAAAAATTGGGAATAGATGCGGCATGAGAAATGGAGTCAATATCGTACAATATTTTTTGTAAACTCCTTAGTTTTCAAGAAAAAAATTATTGAAGTTGTAGTACTTTCAACCATTACATATTTATTTATTTATTCATTCCAAACAGACAAATTGTCTAATTACATGGAAAATCATAACATAGGTGTGGAGAGCCACATGGCCTCAGCGACTTCGAATACTGAAATCCGATTTTACAGTCATGGTTGCCATAGTGTTTACAATAGTTTTTTAGTAGTTAGTATAGCAACTCGGAGTTGATGGATATCATTTTAATTTATGGTGAAGCAAGAAAACGTGTATTATGGTGAAGCATTTGTGTTATGGTCAAACAAGACAGTATTTGTGTTAGTTCGTAGAAACTCCACGTCGGTGGACAAAATTTTGAACAGTTGTAACAATCAAATTATTTTATTATTTAAAACCACAAATTAATTTTATTAAATAATAATAACAATAGAGGCAAAATCAGTTGAATTTGCTGATACAAAAATTTCATTCAACTATTCTCCATTAGTTGCTGCAATCGTTCTTGTTCTCGCTTGTACCAATACAAGCATTAGAAAAATAAAAATACATGTGAATTTGCTCTGTCTTTCCATAAAATTAGCTTTAGACTTGCCTTTAATCAAAATTGGTAAAATATCTGTAATATTATTGGTACTAACGGTCACACCCGGACTGATAGAGCATGTTTACCTATAAACCTGAAACTAGTACACTCTAAGCTGTCCAAGTATACTAATAATTGTAATTATGTCGATACAGAAATGTACTGCGAGTTACAATGTTAAGGGTTGTGTTAGCACCCTAGACAGCCACTGAGATGTTTATTAGATGACGGACGAGTGTATATGTAGGTGTGTCCAGTGACGCCATTCTGATGTACTGCTAATTGTAAGTTCAATGGTACGTATACCGTGTTTTCACGGGAAAACACTACATAGGAGGTACGTCGGTCAAACTCGTGTGGCTTCAGCGGTGGGGATGTCGATCTCTATGTGCGTGGCCATGCGGCGCTGTGGCATACGTAATCACATCTCACATCAGTAAAGTTGCAGCACCCAGCGCTCCCCACCTTTCCGAACTTACGAACTCGAACGAAGCTAATTCCCTATGTAGCGTTGTACGGTGAAAGCACGGTATACAGGGTGTTTGAAAAAGTTGGTACCAAATTTAAGGAGGTGAAAGTAGAGCTAAAACTAGTAAAAAAAAATTCCTATAAACATTGGTCCTTCGAAGCACCGGTACTGCGATATGGCCCTCCTTTTAATTGTTGAGATGGGATTTATCAAGATGACTTAAAGCATGGTCACGCATCCGGTTGTGATTATTTTTCAGAAAATTATAATAAAAATAAATTTTTTGTACATAATATTTATTTCACATATACATTTTACAAGCTTAATTTAAAAATATATCATTAGTAATATTTCTATACACAATTATTATAAACAAAAACAGTGCAGAATTGTAAATTATTATTTTTTCAAAATCACAGAAATAATTTCCATTAATACTTTTAGCAGACTAGAGAAAACATTGCAGATGTCCAGTGTCATAAAAAACAATATTTTCGTTTTTTTTTTTTTTCATTGCGATTTGCCCAGTTGCCATTGTATGTACAAGGTTTTCATTTACATTTTATATGCTCACCTAGATAGGTAGAGGATTTACTTAAGACATATATACACAAAAAGTTTTTGGGATTTTTCCACTTTCCCATACTTTTGGACTCATTTTAAAATAAATAGTTGTCAAAAATTGTATATACAAAGTGAAGTTCAACTTTTTAAATGGCACCCTGTGTATTTCGCATTTAGATAGATTGCTTTTTTCAGATTACAGTGATATATATGTTCTGTTGGGCCTATTCTTAATAATAAGACAGCTATGAATAGACTAAGCGGTATCTGTTTTGGTTTGGGTGAATCATATATCCATGGAGATTTTTGGCTTTTTGGCTTTCAAATATCACTAGAAATGAAAATTTTTCTATGCGCATAAAAAAAACGTGGGCTTAACTTTTGGCAGCACAATATGTTAAAAAAATTCGAAAAATGTCATATTTTTCTTCCTATTATGTATCTTTTCAAGAGTTGATTTTAGGCGAAAATGGAAGAGAAAAAATGTTTGTAATTAATTTTTTTACAAAACATGACTAGTTACAAATCGAACGAATCATAATTATTATTGTTAAAATCGAAAAAATCGCCAAAAATTGAGTTAAAAAACATTACTTTTCAGGGAATTTTTTGCGGTCTTTAAGTTGGGTATAGGACCTTCATACTTGGCTCAAGAAAAGTTCATGTTATGTAGAATCGTCACACCAAATTTCATCAAAATGGGTTCGTTAGATTTTGTATAATAATTTTGCAATCCAGATTTTGAAAAAAAATTTGCAAATTTTCAAAATTTTGCACAGCAAAAACCAAGGCCCTTAGATACTTGAAAATTTAATCACATATAGAAGGGCTCTCAAGCTTTCAAACTTTTTTTGAAAAATTCGAATCCGCCAATTAGGAGAGCTCTGGCGCTTGTTTAAACATTGGTCGAATTTTTGTACTTATAAACAATTAGAATAGGTAACTTTGTGAATATTCAATCAAATCAAATTTTTTAAAGCAGGTTTTAAAAGTTCTTGGAAAGACGCTTCTTTAAAAAAAAAACAGATCGATTGATCAATTAGTTACGTAGTTATAGCCGACCAAAGTTAACCGTCATTTACACTAAATGTACTGGGACATCCGGGCTAATTTTTCGAATTTCACCTAGAGGTCCGATTTTGATAATTTTGTTTTTTAATTTTAGCATATTTTCAAATGCCTATCGTTAATAATTATTGGTCTTTCAACAATCCGATAATTATTTATTTTTAAACTTCCTTTACTTATCAACTTTATTTTTTTATTGTATCAAAAGTAAATGCATAAACTTATATACTGTTTATCAAAGAACAAAAACAAATTTATTTAAATATTCTAAAATTGTTTAAACAACAATTATTTTCAAAATTTGTCGAAAATTAGTAATTAATTTAATCATAATTTCTTTTGTAATTATAGTATAATTCAAATATTATTTACTGTTTAAAATATAATTTAAAATGAGAAATTAACTCATTATATTACAAAACTACAAAATTTTAGTACAAAAATTCGACCAATGTTTAAACAAGCGCCCGAGCTTTCCTAATTGACGGATTCGAATTTTTCAAAAAGCCTTTGAAAGCTTGAGAGCCCTTTTGTATGTGATTAAATTTTCAAGGATCTAAGAGTCTTGGTTTTTGCTGTGCAAAATTTTGAAAATTTGCAAATTTTTTTTCAAAATCTGGATTGCAAAATTATTATGCAAAATCTAACGAACCCATTTTGATGAAATTTGGTGTGATGATTCTACATAACATGAACTTTTCTTGAGCCAAGTATGAAGGTCCTATGCCCAACTTAAATGCCCAAAAAAAAATCCCTAAAAAATAATGTTTTTTAACGTCATTTTTGACGATTTTTTCGATTTTTACAATAATAATAATCATGATTCATTTGATTTGTAACTAGTCATATTTTGAAAAATTTAATTACAAAAATTTTTTTCCTCTTCCATTTTCGCCTAAAATCAACTCTTGAAAAGATACATAATTAAATAAGAAAAATATGACATTTTTCGAATTTTTTTAACATATTGTGCCGCCAAAAGATAAGTCCATGTTTTTTTTTATGCGCATAGAAAAATTTTCATTTCTAGTGATGTTTTAAAGCCAAAAATCAGATACCGTCTGGACTACAAAGATTGTCTCAGACATAATATGTTAGAGAGAGATTATCAGCTACTAGGCAACCGAGTATTTTTTCCCAACATATACTAATTGCCAACTCTTGCACAAATATGTCACATTAATAGAAGTAAACTTTGCAAAGTGCTCTATCCAAATTTGTAAAAATATATAGGGGGTTCCATTTAAAATAATTGTAAGGTGGCTTTACTTACTACTTTTTGACATTTGTTTATTTTAATGAATCCAAAAGTATGGGAAAAATTCACAAACTTTTGTAATTTTTTTTTTATAATAAACCCTTTATTGTGTGAAAATAGAAATGAAAATCTTGTACGTTAAGAGAATATAAATAAATAATCTTTAAAAAAGTGTTCAAATGAAATCTAACAGGTAGCAAATTAAAATGGTTTCAAGCAATCTATTATGGCCCCCTTCACTATGGGCAATGCATTGCAATTGGCTAACGCAGGCAATTGTACCCAGAAACCATCGTGTGCCATTACCATGCCGGTTGACGTTTGGCAGTTCATCTTATAGTAATTTTCTACATTTTATTTGAGCATAGTATGTAAAATACGAACATGCCCTTTACTTTAAAAGTACATATAATTTTTATTTCAATGTACACCAACAAAAAATTGTTTAAAAAAAAAGAGGGAACCAGAATATTTTAAAAATGGGCCAGCATGTGGACGTGTAGAGCCGTAGTCGACCACATGCCTTTGAATGGTGCCCAAAAACTTACACGAAATCGATCTCGAGCATCATCTAGTTGAAGCCGGGCAAGGTGAATTGTCTTTCTACCCAATGGCCATTGCAATCAATTGGCCAACATGGCCCATCTTGAAGAGGGGCCGTTAAAATTAAAGACTATTTCAAATTTTTAATAAAATAAATTCCAATTTTAACTGTAAATTTGGAAATTTTATTTTCTATTCTAGTAATTTAAAGAAATGACAATAATTACTACTCATTTTGGCAACCAATATTTTGTATATTTTCATTTGGTGTAGAATTATTAAGTATATTTAAAAATCACAGTAAAAATATTAGCTGTTATTCAGGAAGTGCGCTTGTAAAAATATAAAGAAAAATACCAAAACTAGCCCAGATAACTTCTACAGTTAAAAATAATTTATTCAGACATTTACTTGCTGAAATTAATAACAGTTATTACTATGCTGCCCTCAATTTTTTTAAGGAATTCACATGCAAAAGTATAAGACTGGAACATTAGAAGTAAGCAGCTGTAGCTCATAATTGTTGGTATAATACATTATCGAATTATTTAACTCTTAAAGTAGCATAGCTTTTGTAAAGTATTATTATTTTACCTTTTTCCTGCCTCACACAAAACAGTAATCATGCAGGATGTACATTTATTTTACTTTTGAAATAATTTTAGAATCCTGAAAACATTAGTTCATAAATATTATAATCCTTGTTATTTTACCTGCTCTTCTCAATGTATTATACTTTACATGTTTAAAATTTTTAAAAATATATTGTTACTTTTAATGGAATTAGAAACAATGTTGATAAACACATCAACCTAGATGATCAACCAGTTGCAAAAATAGAAATGTTTTAGTTTCTAAATTGGTATTACTTATTACAAGAAGTTACATTCTATCATGAAAAAATACTTTATGCTTGTCCGTATGGTGCAGGTTAATGTGTTTATCTCGTTTATAATAAAATTGTTTACAAAAATAATTTCAAATTATTAAAATTCCCTAAATAAATACTAAATCACAGAAATATAAATTTATAAATATAACTTATCATATAAATAAATCAAAGTAAAACATATCACAAAAAGTTAAAAAAAGTATATGTAAAATAATATAAATTCTGTAAAGTATAATATATGTACAAATTTTATTACTATTTACGGAAAGACAGCTTTAGCAGATTTTGGAATTTGCCGGTTTCTGAAAAATTAATATTCATGATACAAGGTGTTACAAAAAAGTCGGGCAAACAATTAACAATAGATTCTAGGAGCAAAAATAATACTAGGACTGTGAATGAATTTTGAGGGATTTACAATAGATGGCGTAACTTATGCTATTTCTCATTGGAACTGCATTCCTGTCCAAGCTGTCATTAGGCTTTACTTTTTATTGTCATTTTGTTGAAGTGTAAACAAGGAGTATGGCGAATTATGAGCCAACAAAACACATTTGTGGAAAGTTTTACATTCCTGTTTCATTTAAAGAAGAGAGCTGCTGAAAGTCATCGAGTGCTGTAGGAAACTTACGATGAACATACTCCATCGATAAAAATGTGTGAGTTTGGAAGTGGTGATTTAGATACAGTCGACAAAGAACACCTTGGTCAACCGAAAAAGTTGGAAGAAGAGGAATTGAAAGCAATACTTTCCAAGAATTTCCAAATGTTTAAATGCACTCGGTATGATTCAAAAGCAATGAAATTGGGTGGAACACGAATTGAAGCCGAAAGATGTTGCACCAGTGGCGGCTCGTCAGGTGATGCAAGTGACGCGCCGCTTCACCTAAAATTTCCGTTTGGTTGTGCAATTTAAACTTATTTTTAATTTTATATAAATTCTATAATTTAGGTATAATTCTATATTGAAAATCTATTGTGTTTCTTTGTTTAATACGCAGAAATAAACAGAATAGTTGCGCGGTGAACGCCTTCTAAAAAAAGACATTGCCTTCGTTGAGCGCGAACATCAACCTCATACCGTACAACATTTTGTATACGCAAGTAACGCAGATCGTAACAGTCTGAATTCCGCTTCTCTTCAAAGTGTTGTTTATGGCGGTTGTCATGGCAACGAGGCGGACAACACGGGAGAAAATTATGGCATGGGGAAACGAGTGACGCAGATATTGAAGCAGCATTGTCATCGGTTCATCGCCCATCTTTAAACAGTTTATACGATACGCGACGCCCAGTGCACGATTATAACTGTTCTTAGTTAATATTTGTTTTGTATAATAATTGTAGAAATGTTTCCTATGTATGATCCAGTATGTATTTTATTGAAAATGCCATTTTCCGGATGGAAAATTGAGGACAAAAAGGATTTTTTAAATTGCGAGAGACCTGTTCTCTCGATATGGAAAAAAGAGGACGTTAAATGACAATGTGTACGTTTGGAAGTTTCAGAATTAATGGTATTCGGAGTATAAGTGGTTGTGTGGAAGTGTTTATTTAAAAAAACTTTTCTGTATGCTGTGTTTAATTGTGGGTGTCAAGTCCGACGTGTGGAATAAGGGGGGATTTAACAATTTTGGGATGAAGTCAAAAAATACTTAAAAAAAGCTGAAATGGGATGTTTTACCTCACCCGCTATATTTATCAGATATGCTCTATCAGATTACTACTTCTTGAACACGGCCTGGTTAAGCAGCGCTTCCAATCTTACAAAGATATGAAAAATTGGATTGATGGTTGGTCAAAAGATAAGTTGTTCTTTCGACGCGGAATCCGTATACTATCAGAAAGATAGGAAAAAGTAGTGGCTAATGATGGCCAATACTTAGACAAGTATTAATGATCACAATTTTTCACAATAAAATCTTGAATTTACAAAAAAAAAAAACCTCAAAATTAATTCAAGTCTCAGTAGAAAACTTTCCTTATGCCAATTTTCATTTAGGTTCCTCTTTTTCAGGGTACAGGATGTTGAAATTAAAATAACAAAAAGAATATATTAATAGCTTTCTCTTTTTTAAAATATTCCGTTTTGACTTTTGACATTTTGTAGACTTGTATCTCACGTCGACAAATTTTTTGTGTAGTTTTAGTTTAAAAAATTATATCATAAATGAAGAAATAGGAGTTGTAGTAGCTATACAGGTTTGGAAAATCCACATGGTCTATCTGCCTTTACATGAGAGCGACAAAGTAAAGAAAAGAAATCCGTGCGATAGACAAGGATGGCTAGAGTGAAGACGTTTGATAATCTGAATAGTCACCGCCCGTTTCGGGTTAGAAGTGGGAGTGACTATGAAACGTCTTCAATGTAAGCATCCTTGTCTATCGCACGGATTTCTATGATTTACTTTATCACTCTCACGTAACGGCCGATGTACCATGGGGACTTTCCGAACCTGTATATAGCTAACTTTTTCCATTGCATATACAGGGTGTTCTGAAAGTCAGTCTGTCAGGAAACTCCGGTAGGTGATTCTACGGATTAAAATAATAGCAGCATGTAATGAAAACTGAATTGTCAATTGTTTTCAAAGTTCATTTTTTTTATTTTTCTATTTAAATAACTTATTTAATTCAAGTTCTATCAGCCCGTCATTTGGCACACCCACTAAATAGATGAAACTCTATTGGACCAGTCAGAGAAAAGTTTCATTATGCACCACTAGAGGGCACTTTACCTAGAACTCAAAATTTGTTTGGTTCATAACTTTTCTCTTGCTAGACATCACAGAAATTTAAAAATTATTGAAAAGAGAAACAGTATCAGAAAAAATTATGTACTCTTTGTTTAAGCCGATAAATGTAACCGTTTATCAGGAAATCTTGTAAACCAAGTCCTAAATTAAAATTGCGTAGGAAAACAAAAATGAAAAAGGAATAGATTTGATACAAAAAAATACAGCCCCTTCCTACAAACAAAATGTTCCAATATATAAGTCTATCCACATTTCAAATGATTATCTTAAAATAAAAACAAGTTAATATTTTTTATTGTAACTTTGACATCCTATTTCTTGAAACAGAGGCACCTCAATGAAAAATTGCATAAGTCCTGTATATTTTTGTGTGTAAAAAAATAATAAGAACTGCTTACCTGTAATTGTGCATATCTACCATGACTTTTGTAGCTTGCTTGTATTTTCCTTCTTGTTCCAATTTAGAAGAGTTTCTACCTACAGAATGTGCAGGCAACTTAATGACGAGATGATTGCTATCCATTTCATTTCGAATGACGTCGCTTACTATCGATTTTATTTGTGGACAAATTACGGGAGCACTATAATCCTGGGTGGTACGCAGAGGCATGTCTAGTTTTAAATCCAATACATTTTCACCCTAAAATAACAATTATGTAAAAAAAAATGTAAGCTATTACGTCAACCTGTTATTACTCTAAATTTTGAAGAGTTCTGACTCATCTGTATAGCATAGTCTGAAATAGGTCTTCTATAATTGTGTGCTAGAGGTCTCTCTATAGGATTAACTCTAATTTTCTCTTTTCTTAGGATCCAGTTATCAACGTTTTCATCGAATTGAGCCAAGTTTATTAATCTCGATCTTTCCTCTGATGGAACAAAATTGTCGATTACGAGGAACCATTGTCGTAGATGCCTAAAAATTAAGATCATATCGTGATCCTATCTAGTGAATTAAAAAAAAAAATGTTTTGAACACAGTACACAGAAATACGTTCAGGATATTTTTTATTTAAATTAATATTCTCCAATTAGGCTGAAAAAATTGACTAAGTTACAACACAGAAAAAGAATGTTTAAATTTTCCTGCATAAATGACTATCGATACTACACTGATATGATAATTGAAGTGAATGGAATAAAACGGAACCTTTATAAATCAATACAATCATTCTGACTGTATTATGAGTTATAATGAAAAAACTATTTAATTTGAGTACACTATAATTATTTCATAATGAGATTTATCCAACTACTTGACTTACATAGCAGCTTCGTCATTCGCCTCTTCAATTTCCTGTCTATCTTTAACGTACACTTCATGGTTGTCTCGTATTTCTTGTCGAATGGATTGTAGTTTGTTGTTGATTCGCTTTAATTTTTCTCTTTTGAAATCGACTTGTTGCTGAAGACTGGCAAATACTTGTTTTAGTTCACTGCACGTTTCTTCTTCTAATTCTAATATCTGTTGCATTTCTATTTCACGTTTCTGTAAATGTAAAATACTGTATCTATTTTAGCTACTTGTCTTCTAGGGATTTACATCATAAAATATACACGGAGGTTTTATAGCTTATTCTTTAATAAAAGTGTTGATTATTTTAAGGGGAAGAAATTCCTATGGACTTATGTTCTAAATGGCGTATTTTTCAAGATACAGGATTTGAAAAATATATTATTAATTTATTTAAATATCTTGGAAGAATGTTTGATGTAAATTTAATAAAATTTAAACTCGATGATAACCAGTGGCAGCTCTTGACTTCAGTACCACGGTACCAAGAAAGGCGGAAAAATTTAGATACAAAGTATCGAAAACAGAATTGAAATATAATTGGGTAGTTTTAATTTAAGTACTATTGAAATATAGAAGAAATGTGCTCAACATTATTTTTTTATAATGAAAGTCCATTCTTCTGCTTTTGTCCGAAATAATAATCAATCTGTCACAGCCTTATGTTAAATTTACAAAAAATACCACCTGGAAACAAAAAATATGGTGATATAGGAAAAAAATTCTAAGATAGTGTATGGCGAAGTTAACCTAAAAAATTTATAAAAGTCAAAAAAACTGTTTTTCGCTAATAAAAAAAAAACTAACTCCAATCGAAAAAAATTAAATGAGAAAGTTGTAGCTATTACAAAAACTTATCGATTCGTATTTTTAAATATATCGATTGCTATATTACTTTTCGAGATATATCGAACAAAACTGTCAAAAATCTACTTTTTTTGTTTTTGCTGTCTCGGCTCCAGAAGGTCAAAGAGCAACGTTATTTTTTAAATTCGCTTAAAAATGTCAGCAATCGATTCCTGTATTAGACATTATCGAGAAATGAAAATTGAAAAAGATATTCAAGAAAAACGCGAGCAAAAAATTTTTACTTTTTTCAGTCATCTTTAGACACTTGAAATGAATAAAATCGATATCACTATTTTTTACCATGAAAGTAAAACTCGTAAGGAAAAAAATGAGACCTAATTCGTTTCTCTATGACTGTTCGTCGAGGAAGAAGAGCCGATTTTCGAGATAACCTTTTTTTCGAAAAATCGTTATAACTCAAAAATTTTTTAATATTTTTTAATTTAAAAAAAAGGTACTTTTTTGCTTGCCGAGGGCTATGTTTACAGCAAGTAACAAGTTTTAAAACCTTAATTTGCAAGAGATACACCTATATCACCATATTTTTTGTTTCCAGGTATTTTTTTGTAAGCTCTTCTACCTATTGATTGGACTAAATCCCACTCCGTCTTTCACTGCTGTGGAACGGTAACCATGACCACTTTTGTAAACACTTTCTAGATCTAGAGGCGAGCTACAAGGGCCCCACGTATTCAGTGTTTTTCAAATGAATTTGACAAGTCGAGTTAAATTGACTGCACAATACAAATTTAACATTTCCTTTTTAATGTGTTTCATAAGGCTAATCTATTTAATTATGTAGATAAGATTGTAAATTAAATTTTTACTATGAAAATTTCCAAGGGGGGCAGTGCCCCAGAGCTCCTCCGTACCAGCCACCACTGATGGTAACTTAACTAAGCAAAAGTAAGAAATAAGATTACTACAAGGTTGGATAAATCCAAAATAGATAATGTAAAATAAATTTTACAAAAATGTAGGACCTTCTTGTTGTTAATGGAATTTTAAATATAATGTAATTTGTACCGTGCTCGCTCTCAATGATTTTTTTTTGAGATATGTATTAGGAATTGGGATTTATTTAGAATTATTGTATTTGCAACACGTCTTTTTTTTTTAAACAACAGAATATTTTTAATTTAACTGTGGAGTAAGCTTATTTAGATTAAAAAAAAAACAACTAAAATTATTTGTTTTTAAAATAAAATGAAATTGTTTTTCTATGAAATGCAATGACCACATTTACCTACTTTTTCTTTTAATTAATAATATAATGACTAATAATAATTCTTGCAATTTTAACTAACACTTCTTGCAAAAACTTTAAATTTTCTGAGTCCTATAACTGATAAAGAAAAAATTATAATGAATGAATTTGACACTTTTTGGCTAATCTCCATGTGATTTTTACGTTGTCACACTGCTACCAGATACTTGTGATTTGAATCATAATTCAGACTCGTATATCTGAAAATCACTTATTAATCAGATTTTCAGAATGAGCATAATTTATTATTACTCTGCACTCTGCAGTCACAATCTAGTGAAGCACCTTTTTGAAATATTTGTGTAGTGTGATATTTTTCAAAAACTTCGTAGTTCATATTATGTACTATTTAAAAAAAATTCTTTTCTTATTGAACCTACTTAAGGATGACCCTGTATAATAACATGAAAGTACCTTTCGTGCAGCAATTTCAGCTCTTTGTTGTTCAAGCCTCAATTCATTCTCATTAACGCTGTCCACAATATTTTTACCCCCATGAACCATTTGTTTCTCTAATGCCTTTAACTTCTTAGCCAATTCATCAACCTCCATTTTACCCAGTTCTAGTTTTTTCTCCTTCTCCTCAGTGTTACTCTCATCTTCGCTATCTGTGGATTCCGTTTCGACATTATCAATATTGGTACTTATTACCCCATTGCTTTTCTGCATAATAAGTTGCTTAAGCCTTTCAATTTCTTGTTGGAGACCCAACAGTTTACCCTCTTTAATATCCTCATTTTTGACAGGACTATTTTTAATGGACTTAGCCCTATATGCATATCTTAAGGTAACTATGGTTTCTTCATAATTCATACTAGCAGGGCCTACATTTGCAATCATTATTGTTTTGCTATTACCACCTAAAGAATCCTGTAGAAGTCTGGTAAGTTTTGAGTCTCGGTATGGAATGTGAGCGGAATTTTCAGCAAGAGCATAAATAACGTTACCTAAAACAATTATTTTTGCTATTATTTCATAAAATAATAAGTATACCTATATGTTTTGCTAATATTTTATTATACGTTAAGGTGATTAACTGAGGATTTAGGGACTAGTGAAAATAATTAATGAATTGATGACATTGAATCTAAATTACACAGTTATAACCAAATTTATTATTATTTTATAAATAGAATAAATAAAAAAGCGGTCAACATTTTAATTTGATATTGTTTCAAATTCAACTGTAGAAAAATAAGTATCTGAAGAAGTTAGAACAAATTAAGCATAGTACAGAGCCTCCATAAATGTTTACTAGCCATGTGACTGCCAAGCTTAGCAACCAACATTGCATGGCTGGTACTAGTAACGAAAATTCCCTAAATCTCGGCGTCACCAATATTAATGATTCGTTTACAATGAACAATGACATATCGTTATGTCTACACTCAAGGCAATATGCTCGCTGATTGGATAGAATCTTGTGAAAAAATACACCAATCACATCGGGTGAAACAGAATGTTGTGTTTTAATGTAATCTTGATCTTATTGTTTTAATTTTACTGAAATTTAATTGCCAATGTGAAGGAAATAAAATTACTGCTGTATAAATTAGATGTGATATAGTACAACAATTGTGGTAAATTTCCTAATTAACTAAGAATTGCTTTTATAAACTTGGCTTTCAAATAAACTGAAGTAAAGGTGATGTTTGCCCACAAATTCAGATTTTTGTGTATTACAAATTATGCTTTTCTCATTGTTATTTATTGTATTTATTACTTTTATTATCCTAATAGCAACAGTAACAAATATTTTCTAAATATATTCTAATTTATTGTAATATATAGAACAGTGCCACGAATACCGAGTGTTCACAAACTTGGAGTTCTACTTATAACAGGAGATAGGTTTTGATAAAAGCCAATTACTAAAAATTAACCTCAATAAAACTGCCAGTCCAGTAATGGTAGAATTTTCTTTTAAATAAACACACTGTGCTACCTACCAGTAAAATATTGAAATCTAGTCGAGTGGCACCGCTTGTTGCCAACTGTTACTATTTATTTAGTACAATATTCGAATCAGGAATCACTCACACTGATCTTTTTTTTTATTAAGTTTTGGTGGAGAAAAGCGTAAGTACAGTACCCAAATATTTGTATAGTTTCAAAGGAAACATTAATGCAGAAAGTGCCGATAGTGGATGTGAAAAAAAAAAACACCAATAGTTTGAATATTTTGTTGACTGTGTTTTGTTTTAACAATACATCTACTGCATTAAATTTGCTTTAATGCACTGTTTAACTGTTATCTTTACACATTTACATAATAAAAGCTTCTTGTGTTGCTGTATTAGTCTAGTACAAGGGTAAAATTGTAATAATCAAGTATTCATGTTATTAAAAGTTAGTGCTTGCACTAAGTACTGCAAGACGTGTAACACTCGTTCAGAGAACGTGTATTAGTTAGCTCAGCTTCATCGAGTACGTGGCAGACCTTTATGTATTATCAATCTCAAAGAAGAAATTTTGAAATTAGTAGATGATTAAACTTTAAATACACATGCAATTGCTAGACGAATCACTATGTCTAATTGGATTTTATGGTGCATATCAGGAAAGATCAACTGTATTCATTTTATGCACCAGGTGGGCCAAATTTGACATTTTCGAGGGGTTCTCCTATTTCCCAAAAATGTTTTGCTTAAATTAATGTCACAGGCTCGATTTTCGAGAAAAGTTGAATGGCAAAAACCATATCTTGATAGTTCATTTTCTATGATGTTCTATAATTTTTTTATTTGTGAAAATATCTATACTTGTAGAGGTTTTTTTACACACATTTTATGTAGAAATCAGAGGCTTGTGCAATATATTTTTTTATAACTTCCGGTTTTTCTGTTATAACAAATTTATATTTTGATTGGAACATCATATATATTTTTCAATTTTTAAATTATATGTACAATTTCCATTCAAATAATAATGTAAAACAAGGTGTATTTAAAAAAAAATTCAACATATAAATGCCAAAAATGTTTTTTTTTTTTGTAAATCAATTGTTCCTTGATAGAGAAATTTTTATGTAAATATCATGTATGATATGAAGGAAATTTTACAGATTTCAAAAATCGAAAACTACAATGTGTCCATTTAAAAAAATATAGGATGTTTTAACTCAAAAATCAGGAATTTCAGAAAAATATCGCAAAATCCTTTGGATTCAATGAAAAAATTGTGTGAAAAAACATTAAAAAAAATATTTTCACAAACAAAAAAGTTACCACAAAAAAAATGGCCAAAATTAAACAAATCCAAGATATACTTTTTTCCACTACTTTTCTAACTTTTCGAGAAGTAGGAAAAACCCTCTAAAAGTATCAAATCTGGCCCACCCGTACATACAGTCTATGCTGTATACTTTCCAGTGGCGGTTTTACCATAAGAGCTGCGGAGCTGCAGAACACATAAAATTTTATGTATTTAATCATATTAAATATCAACAAAATATTTAAAGAATCCAAATGTACTCGTGTTAAAATAAATCTAGGAGGTTATATTATTATTTATTGCTACGCAAGCTACGCTCCTTAATATATGCAACCTCATATACAAAATGTGTGGACAGCGAACGATTATATGCGTCCTTTGTTTTTATTGGTTAATCAGGCACGTGACCCAGTACACGAAGATAGGGGCTTTTGCGGCTGCAATAGTGACAGCCACTGCGCTGCAGTCTGCAGTAAATGCAGTAATATTTCGTACGTATGTGGTGGTTTATTTCTGCGAGCGGCACGTGTGAATATTTTCGTTTAGGCGTCTACGGATATTATAGTTATTAAAATGAATAGCGTTTCGTTTAAAAAAAACTTTATTTGGTTCTCTGCCTTATGAGGATAAACTAAAAATAAAAGAAGTAAAAGTTATAAAAAAACAATAATATATACACAAAAGCAGAGTGGGTGTGCGGGTGTGATTTAAAACATTCACTGTTTTGTTTTCCGTGCTTACTTTTCGGTGGGGATAAAGCATGGACAATATACAGTGTGAAAGATTTAAGTCATTTAAGTCTTTAGGTAAAATAAACATAAGAAGTGAGTTAGATTCTGCATATTGGGATAATATACGGAAACAATGAACAGGTAATGAAAAATCGTTATGTATTATCTAAAATCATAGATTGCATAAAATTTTGCGGAGCTTTCGAATTAGCACTTCGCGGACACGACGAGATAGAAAATTCGGACAACCCTGATGTGTTTCGTGGACTCATTAATTTTAGTGCAGATCTTGCCACATGGGTATGACCGGGATTTTCTGTGATTGTACCGGGAATTAGCTGTATGGTCCCGGATTTCGGATTTGCACATATAACTCCCGGAATATTATACAGGGTGTTCCTAAATAAGTGTTGCAAATTATGATACCTTAAAATCTCCACCACAGGCACGTCCAATGAATTCGAGAAGGGTGCGAAAAAGTAGCTATTAATAGTGGTAATGTGTGTACAAAAGCTCAGTCCTGTAGTTCGAACGATTCCCAAGATATTGGCGAAAAACTAAAAAAAATTAAAGTTTTGACACCGTGTATCTCGAAAACGAAAGCTCGGAGAGAAAAATGGAAGAGGAAAAAAATGTTTTTTTTTTCAAGAGGAATTTACAGTTTTCCGTTGCGACACTTATTTAGGAACACCCTGTATAATGTACATATATATAAAAAAAAATTAAGAAAAAATCATAACACGGCGAGGAAAATTAAAATTCGTTGAATCGTTGGTAAATTTTACACACGATTTTTTTGTTTATAGCCATTCAATAATTTAATAAAATATATTTAGTTTATTCCAATTTATTCATACTGTCAGTAGGTAATTCGTGAATAGATATTTCAAAAAGGTATCAATTTCACAAATCGTTCGTTCCTTGAAATTCAGAAGTGTCAGGAAAACGCGTGACCTTGAAAATTTTAAAATTTTTCGCCTGCGGCGCCATTTAGAGACTCCAGGCACTTAATATCCCGGAATTCAATTCAACAAATGTAACAACCCTAAGCAGAACACATTCAATCAATGTTCACGCGCCGCCACTGATACAATCCCATCCTTTAAGTATAACTTGTAACTGACTTTAAAGTGATCCAAGGCATCCCTGACACTTTTAATCTCAGATATTTTCTTTTATCAACATTGTGTACAATTTTTTAATACAACCTATTGTGTTACCAAACTACCTACTTGGACATTATTTGAACTTTTTAGAAAATAATTTACCCGACGGTCTGAAGAAGTACCTCCCAATGCATGTCGGAGAATGTAGTATTTATGGGATAAGGTGCCACTTCATTATCCTCGTGATGTATGAAAATATTTAAAAACTGCATTTTGTGATAGGTGAATAAACGATCCTTCTCATTCTACATTCCTACATTCCTTCAACTTTATTTTATTTTTAAAAAATTAATGATGTTGTAAAACTACTTTGGGGTTACACTTATGGAAATGTACATAATAATTCTTATATGGTGACGAAAGAGGTGGCAACATCAAACACTTATCGTGATGTCATGTGAGGCTAAAACATGTCATTCTCAAACTATTTCAGCAGTTCTTCGATATGTCACATTTATTTATTAAAGTTAGTATTTATTTATTCTTTTTTATCTTTTCTTCGCTTCATGTTTAACATAACAAGATAGAGTTGTAACTCTAATGTGACAAATTTATTAATAAAAAATTGTTAAATGTAAAACCCGTTTTAAGTGACAGAAAAACCATTAATCTGAGAAAGATATTAAAGTGGTTTTTCACTAAACGGACAAAACAAAAACAAAATACAAACTCGTGTCGAATAACACAAAACTGTAACTTTTCGCAAACTGTATGAAGACTGACCTGTTTTACGACAGTTGGAGTTTTGTTTTTCGGGTCCCGCTCGGAAGTGGTTACATCAAAAGTTTCGACGTGTTGTGAAACTCGAGTCTGTTTAGTGGAAATGGACATTTTGTGTTTTCTATTTTCGCCTTGTATTTCATTTTGCTAGTCTGAATACGAATTTTGTACGAAATTGGTAGATAAGTAAATAACATATTTTTTTATAGATAAGAAATTTGTTTTGAAAAGCTGGATAGTATACAAACTAACTAACTAACCAAGTAAACACTTTACTTTTTTCCAAGGACATCAGCTGTCAGTTTTGTCTTTGTTTGTTTTGTTTTTGTTTTACGGGTTCTAGAAAACACAAACACAACATAAACTCAACTGTCCGTTTAGTGGAAAACCGCCATTAGATAGCATTAGATATACAGGAAAAGAGGGTTCGTCTATTGTTAACATTGTCCATAGTTTTAGGGTAAGTTAGGTTGTTCACAGCCAGAAGCCAGCACAATCGATGTCCTCAGATCTTAAAAAAGGTAACTTTTAAAGAGACAAATTGTTATTTGAACTGTTGTAAAAAGGTAACAAACATAACAAATGTTATAAATAATAATGATAAATGCAAAATTTTTCAGATCTGAGGGAGTCGGTCACAATGCCCCCTAAATCTGAGAGTCTACAAACATCAGACCTTACTTTGACTTATTTACTAGCATATCATATAAAATCAATCTTAGATAGTATAAAATATCCACAATTATAAAACCAGGGATTTTGGGAAAATAATTATATTCTCTCATATGTAATTTAGAAGAAACACCAACACCATAAGCTTTGTAAATGAATGTTTTTAGTGACTTGGAATTTTTCTGCAAGTGGAAATTACGAGTTTTAATCGTACTGAACTACACTTATTTAAAATAACCAAAAATGTCATTCCTTAAATTAGTTATTTTAAAGATTTAGATATGATCAAATATTCCATACGTCAAAATGTGACATATTTTTATTAATAAGTCGTACGTCCTGCTTGTTTTTTATTTAGGTATAACATATATCTTACCTAACGAAGATAGAGCTTTGTTGATTTTAGTAGCCTCTTTAAGACGATCACCTGTAGCTCCTGTTTTCGACTGCCGTTCACTACCAGCAAGGTCAACCAAATTCAATTTTCCGACTTTAATTGACTTTGAATGTTCTTCTGCCATCTCAATTACTATTTGGAAAATTGCATGTGACCGAGAACTATGTTCATTCATATTAGTCATGCCAGTGGTACGATTATTATTTCCAGTTTTCATAGCCTTTAACATGTCTTTTGCACTCTGGCAAGTTTGAGAGTGTAAATTTGTTACAATCACACCTTGGCCATTAACTTCTCGAAGCTCATAATTTTTAGTACTTTTAGCCCTCAGGAGATCTCTACGATAATTCATTATAGTTGAAAAAAATATAGGTTGTTAAATTTACCTTATTTCTTCCATATAAATCTCCAAATATCGGACACTAACTAAAAATTCAACTCCAGTTTTTCTATCAATATGGGCCCATATTTGCTCAAAAGCTCTCGGTATAATCCCCATTTCTTCGCCACTTATACCCTCCATTGTATATGTCTTGCCAGTGCCAGTTTGCCCATAAGCAAAAACACAACCATTGTAACCATCAAGAACTGATGCCACTAAAGGCCTCACAGTTTCATCATACAGATTTTGCTGCGTAGAGCTAGAAATACAAAGAATATGTTATTGGGCCAACTGAAAGAATGTAAAAAATAAACAAATAAAATAAATTGCATGAAATTAATGGCGTGAATATTTCACAATTATGTATTTCCCAATAACCCTTTCCGAAGCACTACGAAATGTATGAAGTATTATTTGTTAAGAATTCTTAAACTAACTTTTCATCATAGACTGCATCATATGTAAATATCTTATTTCTTTCATTTTCACTTCTTGCTTTAGGATTTTCTACTTCAATGACTCCTCTGGTAGAGTACATCTTGACTACGCTGGTACATTTTGAATCAATTTCTTTGTCACTAAGAGGTCTACATCGTACTATCACTTGCACTGATTCATTGCTATTATTTCTCTAAAAGTAAAAGTGTAAAATTAAAGATGAAAATGTAATATTAAGTACTTACTTCTAAGGAAAAACTTTCTACTTCAGCTGAGGTCATCATTATTTTTTAAAGGCTATAAGGTTATATAACCTTGATTAAATATCAAAGCAATGTTGTTACCTCCGACGTATGTACTTCATAGGAAGAAAATAATTTTATTAGTATTGATTTATTTTCTGGAATTGTTATTTAAAATGTAGTGCCATTTACTTTTCCTTTCTTTTGTAAAATATGACACATCTCTCGGTAAAAAACCGAAACGTCAAATGGAAACGTCACATGGAATTTAAAGGTACCTGTAAAAAACTTTCAAATTATTAACTGAGCAAAATAAATATTCTACACATTTCTCGTTAGATAGTGAGGTTAAATAAATTGCTATGAGTTAACAACTTTACTGTAATGGTATTTTTTATTTTTAGTGGTCATAAATAAAATCTAAATTTAAGAAATAATGATTTACAATTTACAGGTTTTTACTTTTTGGCGTTTGACGTAAAACGGATGAACTTTATTTATTATCTATCAGTATTGCCAAAATCATTTAGGGATTTTTCAGTTAACTTTAGCTAGAAATGTTTCTAATAGTGTCATTAGTCTAGAATATATCAACGTTTTCTTTTTATCAAGAAATAGTTGCTTTAATAAGGTAATGGTGCTAAAAAACTTTTAATTTAGAAGTTTATAAAATTATAAATTGAACGTAAGTACTAATAACATTTTGTTTTGGAAAATAGAACATAGTAATTTACAGATTCAACTTCATCTTTTAGTACCTCCACATTTTGACGTTAGTCCCTGGCAAATTATCATCTTATTTGTATTAGTCAACTTATTATTTATATAGATATGGTATTATCAGTATTTTTTAAAACGTATTTTATGCATAATGCTATATAAACATATTTAATTTAATCGATATAATAAAATTGTCAATATATTTACACATATGTCATTATTCAGAAGTTATGTTTCTTAAATAACGTAATTTTAAAAAAATTTCAGATGTCTGGATCTGGACATAAACATCGTTATAAGAATACTGCATTGGACAGTGTAGAATTACGTCGACGTAGGGAAGAAGAAGGTGTTCAGTTGAGAAAAGCAAAAAGGGATCAGCAGTTAAACAAAAGGAGAAATGTTAATGTTAACCAATTACTTCCTGACGATGACCCCTTACAGGTACATTAACATAAGAGAATCATATATTCAGTTAAATAGTATTTTCTCACAGTTGGAAGGTGACATTTCATCACCAGTGACACCTGGAATAACACAAGAAATGATACAAAATCTTTATAGCAATGACCCAGAGGTACAGTTGGCAGCGACCCAGAAATTTAGGAAACTTCTCTGTCAGGAACCAAATCCTCCTATAGATGAAGTAATTCAAGCAGGAATTGTTCCCAGATTTGTAGAGTTTCTGCAAAATACCGTCAACTGCACACTGCAGGTATATTAGACAATGTTGTATGTTTAAAACAACTAATATATTTTTTATTTTTAAGTTTGAGGCAGCATGGGCATTAACAAATGTTGCATCTGGTACCTCACAACAAACCCGAATGGTTATTGATGCTGGAGCAGTGCCTATTTTTATTGCTCTTTTGGGAAGCAGTTATGAAGATGTTCAGGTGTGTAAACATAGTTTCTATCGTTAAATCATATACATATTCTGATGATGAAAATATTTAAAATTCAGGTTAAATATATAAAGGATCTTTTAATATGTATTTTGCGCACTTTAGCTTTGTTAATTATATCGTACATTTTTTATAAATGAAAAATAATTGAAAAATTGTGTGCACAGGAACAAGCGGTCTGGGCACTTGGTAATATAGCAGGAGATTCTCGTGAATGTCGAGACCATGTTTTAGATTCTGGAATACTGGTACCTCTTCTCCAGTAAGTAACAAATATTATAAAAAACACCTAATAAAATAACACATCTTATATGGTTTTATGTTTGATTTTATAGCATGAGAAAAGAAATTTAATTTTATGTGAATTTTTTCTAGATTATTAAGTAAATCCAACCGTTTGACAATGACAAGGAACGCTGTGTGGGCACTGTCTAACCTGTGTAGGGGCAAGAATCCTCCACCAGATTTTGCCAAAGTTTCTCCATGTCTACCAATTCTCTCTCGTCTCTTGTTTCACTCGGATCCTGATGTTCTCTCTGATGCCTGTTGGGCATTGAGCTATTTATCAGATGGACCGAATGAGAAGATTCAGGTATGTAAAATTACGAAACTACACTTTTTTTTTTTCATTGAAACTGAGAAGATTGCTGTAAACAATGCCATAACTTGTATACTACTAACCTACTGTAAATATGTATTTTATACATTGCAGCACTTGGTTTAGTAATGATCCTTGCGAATAGGAGGCAAACTTTGCTAATAAATAAGTTTATATACCCCTCATTTTAGCAACAATTCCAGCATTTAGCGGATTGTGGAGTAATAATTTGTTAATTTGAAAGTACATTATGAAAAATGTGCTCAAAATACTTCTACGAATTAGCCATTTTCTTACCCACACCCTTATGTTGAGATTTTCTGTTAATTCATCTCTGTGCATTAATTATTCTAACAATACTTGCATATATTACGCATCTCTTAAAAAACACATCTTTTGGCCTTATAAATTATAGTTACATACTTAAAATACAGATTTAAGTATATCATGAAGCAAGGGCATAATGTAAACTACTCATTAAAAAATGGTTTTATTTAAACATTTGGAAGCGTTAAAATAAGAATCAATCCAAATCTTATTTTTTATTTTATTTATTATTTATTTTTTATTTTTTAAATGTAATCATCAGTTAGAGGTTTTTAAATAATTCATTTTTACCATCGCAACTGCTAATGTGGGGCAAGCGCTCCAGTCTACCTCACATTAGCTACACCTATGCCAAGAACAAAATTCTAGCAAAATAATATTTTTTAGATTAATTGAACAACCTAGTGGCACCATGTAAATAAAACTGTCCTCTTGACACATTTGCTTCTAGTACTGGATTTTAGATTGATTAAAATATGGTAGCACAGCAACTTATTTTGTTCATTTTTTTATCTTCCTTGATAACACTGCCATAAAATATATTCAAGGATGAAATGAAACAGTGTCATAGGGGAAAATTATTTGCCAATAAATACAGAATTTTTTTCAAACTTTGAAAGTTTCAGAAGTTTAAAAATATAAAAAATACCTGGTGTTTTTTTTTAGATAGTGATTTTTGAAAAATTGTAAATATAAATTAAAAATGTGTTTATTTTTTTTTTTTTCAAATTAATGTTATAAAGGAGGCATAAAAAAATCACAATGAGCCAAGTTGAGTGTAGAGTAACATCATATTATTAGATGTCAAATAAAGAAAATGCGAATATAATATGTTGGCATCTAAAAAAAATCATAGGCTTAAGACTTGCAACATGAAAAGAAAAAAAATTGCAGATATACCAGTAGTGGCGTACCTAGGGGGTTATGTTTAGTTTTAGTTGTAAAAAATAACTTGTTCACTTCATAAGTTTACTATTCGATTTCTACAAATTACTATATGTTTTCGAATATTTTTCCTCATCGTCAAGTCAATGTAGGGTTGAAAATATTATCTCTAAAAATATTGCTCGGATACAGAATCAATGGTGCTGATGTCGAATAGAAGTTCTATGTACTACTCCGTGCTCGATGTTTATTGATTGCTTAGTACCACCATTACTATGGAGATGACTCGGCTAATTGTAACTCACTCATACGAGGCTACGTCTCTGCCTCTACTTCATACCTCAGGGGCCATCTCTCGCTGCATGAACAGTAATTTGTGCTATATTGGTGCTTGGAATGTAGGCAGGCACCGATGCTAGATGAAACACTGGTTTTTATGGCTACTACAAGAACAGGCAAAACGTTGGAAAAACGGGGCGAAGGCCCTCTTGATCTACTAAAATTTATTCAACACTATAGATTGGAAAATTCTGTACCGAACATTGTAATTTTGCTAAAAAATTTTTTAACAATTGCTATCAGTGTCGCTAGTTGCGAAAAGAGCTTCTCCAAATTGAAATTGATAAAAAATTATCTTTGTTCCACAATGAGTCATTTAAGACTACAAAATCTTGCAATATTGTCCATAGAACAAGAAATGATAAATAATATAAATTTTGAGAGCATTATATACGATTTTTCTACTATGAAGGTTAGAATAGTAAATATATAAATATGTTTACATACACATATGTGTACAATTTGTTTGTTTATCCAAAAGAAATGAAATTATTTAAAAATATAAAATAAAAAATATTTAATGGTAATTTTTTTTTTGTTAATTGGGTATATGTTTTGTCTCATAGGTGGGGACCGGCGATCTCCGTAAGTTTGATGTGGCCTTTAAAAAAGTATCTTGTATTTTTATAAAAGTTGCATTTATAGGTATATCAACTTATGCGGCCTCCTTTATGCCTAATTTAAATTGGCATCCAATGGTAAAAAAGTTCCCCACCTTAGTTTGTCTCAATTACAATTATTTATTTATGTTTATTAATTTAAAAAACCACCATTTGATTGACTTAGAAAGGGCGACAAATTGGAGACCGCCCTGGGCGGCAAAAGTCCTAGATATGCCACTGTATACCAGATTTTAAATTGTTTTAATATGACAGCCGATGGAGACGTTAGGTGAATGCACTTAAATGACAGAAGTAGGCAGTGCTGTACTAGAACTTTTATTTCATTGGCTGCTTCAATCAAGGCGAGTGATGTCATATACCTTGTCTTGTTAAACTCTGCAAATCTGTTTCTAGGCACCTAAAAATTTATGAAAAAAAACTAGAATTATTTTTTTCCAGTACTATTCAATAAACAAATTAAAAACATATATATATATTTGGGACATGCCCGTTCCTGGTTTATTATTTTTCTTTTATGTTTAAGGCTGTTATAGACGCTGGGGTGTGCAGAAGATTGGTAGAATTACTTATGGCTCAACAACCAAACGTTGTTTCTGCTGCTTTAAGGGCAGTAGGAAATATTGTTACTGGAGACGACGTGCAAACTCAGGTTATATTGAACTGTTCTGCATTGCCGTGTCTGCATCACTTATTATCATCTTCAAAGGAATCTGTTAGGAAAGAAGCCTGCTGGACAATTAGCAATATCACAGCGGGAAATCGACAGCAAATTCAAGTAAGCATAAAAATTTTAATAACCGCCATACCTAAGTATTGTATAAATTACTTCACAGGCTGTGATTGACGCGAATATTTTCCCGGTTCTGATTGAAATTCTTAGTAAGGCTGAGTTTAAGACGCGAAAGGAGGCTGCTTGGGCCATTACGAACGCTACCAGTGGTGGCACACCTGATCAAATAAGATACCTGGTGAATCAGAACTGCATCGGTCCTTTATGCGATCTTCTGACTGTTATGGATGCCAAGATTGTCCATGTGGCTCTAAACGGTTTAGAAAACATTTTGAGATTAGGAGAACAAGATGCAAAATTGCAGAATGGTACTAACCCATACGCTGTCCTTATAGAAGAATGCTACGGTAAGTATACAACATAGCCTGATGAGTAAAGTATGTTCTGGTGGCAGAACTCCTGAAATTTCGATATCGTTTCATTCAAATTGAAATTATTTCTATAGATGCATTTAAAAATATAAAGTATTTTCTATCACGCGCGCTCGCTATGGGACCTATAGTGTAGGCGGTTAGGTGCACGGAAAGTGCTAGATAGTACAACAGCGTGACGTTATTTTCATAGCGCAGCGCTCCAGCGTTGCGCTATGAAAATAACCACGCTGTTGTACTATCTAGCACTTTCCGTGCACCTAACCCCCTATGCTATAGGTCCCATAACGACTCGCACTTGTGATAGAAAATAGTATGTGCAACTCGTTCGGAAAAGTTGCCATAGCGCCACTTGGGCGCTTTCCGCACTCGCTTCGCTCGTGCGTCAACTGCGTCCACGTGACGCTATTGGCAACTTTTCCCCACTTGTTACACAATGTACTATTACATATGTGGTTAGACATGTTTGAAGTAAATATACACACATTTGTAAAGTTGAACAGAAAACTGTTAAAGTGATTATTGAGGTTTCGGGAGTCCCTATGAAAATTCAGATATTATTTTTGTAATAATGATCTTTTTAGGCCTAGATAAAATAGAATTCTTGCAATCGCACGAAAACATGGAGATTTATCAGAAAGCCTTTGACATAATCGAACATTTCTTTGGAACGGAAGAAGAGGACTCGAACGTCGCACCTTCAATAGACACAGACCACCAGCAATATCAGTTTAGCTCTGATCAGTCTGTACCTATGGGAGGATTTCAGTTTTAAAACAAATAAGTGCCCATAGTGAAATTTCACTTTTCTGAAGACATTTAAATTATTTTAAGGAAGACGACCTTCCTTACTCAAACCCATATTAAAATTACAATATAAGTTCAGTCAAGTAGCGAACAGAATTTTATACATGTGTACTATTACTGTTGTTTCCATAATTTGTTGTAACTGTTTTACTGCATGTATTTTTAATTTTTATTGGTACTGTAATAATATGTATGTATTTGTAAATTTCTGATAACAATCAATTTATTTTAAGGGCATTACTCGTGCAATTGTAAGTACAAAAGTTTGATTTAGTACATCTGATTTTTGCTATTTCCCTGCTTTTGTACTGTGGTTAATGAGCATTTTTTGTATAAATAATTGAAAATTACTGTTGCCAGCTGTGTTACTGTGTTTAATATAACAAAACGTGTATAAATTTGTATACATGTGTAAAATTCACATTATTAATTGTTTATAGTTTGTATTATAAAAAATTAATTAGCTTTAAATAAATTTTGTTCTTTTTAAAATATGTTTATTTATTTGTTTAAAATACAGAATAATGCACTGCTGACTGGTGGAAATGGGGTGTTTGCCACCTTTTCAGATATTAACGGAAAATTAAATAATGCAATAAAAAACCTGTTTTGTTTTTGTATGAAATTATTTAACTGTCGATAAAAAATATGTATATAAAACTAAAACGAATTTGATGGCTCAATTGTGCTGTCTATTAATTAAGGAACTATCTCTAAAATCTGATAATACCGTCGTTCTCATTTTACAAATACAGTGGCGGAGGGGTTACTTAAATAAAAAGTCTTCTAGGTAATTATGTACTATAGTGGCACCCTCTCCAATTTGCACAAAATTTTGTCTACCCCCCTGTTTTCTATGGTGTGAACACGAATCTAATTTTTTTTTGTGCAGTCGAACCCAATTTTCGCGAAAAAATTTTTTCAAAATTCTAACCTTGATGTTTCAAGTAGAGCTCTGTATATTTTATGTAGCTTTCAGAACATCTGTAATAAACAATCAACATATTGTTTAAGAAACGCATTTTCCCAAATTTGAGCTATGTATTTAATAAATAGAATTATAAGGTCTGTTTCTGCAGCAGTTCAGGACTGATTTTAAACTATCATAGACACAAAACATATAACATGGCTGTGCAACTAGCATTGCCAGATTCGCAAGAGGGAGGGGATGGAGCTTTTCCAGACACACGAAGAACGGGGTGAGGAAAAGGAAGTAACTTTAAGTTTGTTACGTTTTTTACAAGTTTTTTCACTAGGTAAAATCTAGTGTCTTTAAATTTTTTACTAACTTTTCCACACTGAAATTCACGTTTGTTATTTGTTTGTTTGTTTGTTTACAATGACTTGTTTTTTTTGGTTATATTATGTAGTTGTAGTAAGTACGCGAAAAATATTGGAAGTATTGGCAAAAGGTAAGTAAATATTAAATTGAGCAAGTTTTCCTATTAAATATAGAGAAGTGTTATGTAAAAGAAAAATATAAATTTATTTTTACTTCCAGTGTCTTATATTCTTTACATTTAACACTATATAATTTGCATATATATTATTTTTGATAATTACATAAAGCATAAATGGTCGTTCAGAGTACAGTTAAAATGATTTAAAGAACTAGTTGTTGAGAATTTCAAGTAACGTACGATTTTTGTAAATAAGAACAGTGGTTAAAAATCTATTAATTGCTTTAATTAACGAAATTTTTGCTGTTTTTAAAAGCGACATTTTATTATGCTTGACATATTTTACTAATTTTATTTATAATTTTAGGTAGGTATGGAAAAATGTAAACAATACTTCCGCATGTGATCAAGAAAAATATATAAGACTGACAGGTCTGTGATATTAGATGAGTATATATAAATAACAGGTCTGTGATTTTTTGTGATTTTAATGTAATTATTATATGTAATTATTGTATGTATATTGTATTATATATTTTAAATTATAAACCATGGCAGATACCGCTACATCATCTGTTATTGGTAAGTTACGTTATTCTTGTAAATATCCATCATGCAAAAATTCTTACTATCATCCTGTGAAAATCCCCTCTTACCATAATAAAAAATTTCATAGATTCCCGAGGGATCCTGAGTCACTGCAAATATGGAAAAATACTTGTAATATTTCACCAAATGTTAATTGTAAAAATTTTTTCCTTTGTGATAGCCATTTTATAGATGCCGACTTTGCTTGTCCTCAAATTCGTAATAGGATCTTACCGAAAACTGTTCCTAAACCTTCAGTACATTCAAGTGATGAACCTTTGAATTGTGAAGTGCCTGATAAACAACCAGAACTAAATGAATTACCATCGCTTAATATAAATTTTTCTCTATTGGCTCAGGATAGCCCATGTTGTTCGAGTAGTGCCCTTGCTAATAGCCTTGATGATGTAACGGAAACTTCTAACTTTGATAATAATTCTCTGCTAGGCGAACACTCTCATTGTAAAATAATATCTGATAAAGTGACAAATTTTTCAAAAACAACAGACCATTCCGATAAATATTCATTTTTATTAGAAAATAAAAAAGGTATGCTTGGTAAATTGGATATTTCAAAAGATGATTTAACACCTCGGGAAACAATAATGTACAAAATCCATCGTAACACTACTTCAAAATTAAGCAAACTGAGATCTTTGTTGAAAAACGAGAGGGCTCACGTAAATTCTTTAAAAAATTTATATAATGATGGCAGGTTTCAATTTATCGAGGAAAATCTTAACGATATTAGTAAAGAATTTATTAATTCCCAGTTGCGTAACGTCAATAGGTCTTCCAAAGGCAGACGATGGACTTTAAAGGATAAGGCTTTTGCATTGTCAGTCTATAAACGCAGCCCTAGATTATATAAATATCTACGAACATATTTTGAGTTGCCCTCAGTAAGAACTTTGAAGACAGTTTTATCAAACATACCTTTTCAGTGCGGAATAATAAAGCCAGTTTTAGTATATTTGAAAACACAAGTTGAAAAAATGGATGAACTTGACTGTTGTTGCTCTCTTGTTTTTGACGAAATAAGTTTAAGTTCAGGGTTTTATTATGAAAGTAATAAACAAATTATTTGCGGGTTTGAAGATTTAGGAAATAAACGCTCAGATAAAGCTGCAAATCATGCTTTAGTTTTTATGATAAGGGGAGTTCGCAAAAGCTATAAACAGGTTGTAGCATATTACTTTGTAAAGGACACTGTGGCAACAATAGACCTGAAACAGATTATTGTGTTTATAATTAATGAATTGCAAAATATAGGACTAAAGATTGTTGCTACTGTTTGCGATCAAGGCCCAACAAACAGATCTGCAATTGAAGCTCTTTGTGCAGAAAATACAGACAATCGAAGTCCTTATTACTTTGTTGTTAATGGTCAATGTGTTTGTACAATTTTCGATGTACCACATCTTAAAAATACACGTAATGCCTTAATTAACAATGTCATTGAATTTGAAAAGGGTAAAATAGCAAAATTTGAACATATTCAAAACGCATATAATCTGGATCAGCAAAAACGAACATATAAACACTTATATAAATTAAATCCAAATTATTTTAATTTCAAAGATAGTTTTCAAAAAATGAAAGTTAAAGTTGCTGCACAACTATTGAGTCAAACAGTTGCCGCTACAATAGAAACATTTTCAGTTTTTGGTGATTTACCTGCGGAATCACTTCACACAGCAGAATTTGTGCATATTGTTGACAACATGTTTGATTCACTGAATGGATCAAATCAACAAGAAACCAGTGGTAAAAAATTTAAATGTCCCCTTTCCGATAATTCACCACATATAGAATTTTGGTTAGATATTTTATCTAAACTAAGAAACTGGAAAGTTATAGATCCAA